CTCTTTTTGAACACTCACTCTCCCGGCTTGCTCTCCCCCCTGCTATTATTAATATTCTCACTAATTTATTAACTGACTGCCAAAATGAGGTGATCACAAATTTTGGCTTAACACCTCCATACCAAGTCCTCAATGATATTGACCAAGGTGAAACAATTACCTCTCTTCTTTGGCGTATTTACTATGATCCTCTTATATCTTACATCCACTCATCCTTCCCTGGCTATATATCTCAAACTTTCTGGCTTACTAACCTAAAACATCATACTTCCAATCATATCCAAGCTAACTGCTCATTCTTAGCCTATATGAATAACACTCTCTGGGTTGTATCCTTCCAATCTAAGTTATCTAACACTATATCTGCTGCAGAATCCTTTTACTCAATAGCTAACATTCAAGTCAATCTGATCATAACAGTAAACATGGCGCTACCTACAGAAGTTTGGAACCTTCCTTATAATTCGTATCTGGATTTGGTCATACGTCAAAAAGAAGATTTTGTATAAAGTGAAATTTTACAATCAAGATATACTATAGTTGCATTAGTTATATAATTTTTATTATTTGACTATAATCACTTCTTGATAGAGGCAGATTGGTTAGCCCATAGAGGCTTTTCTCTTTGTTTTTCTTTTTTTATATTCCCCTGTCCCCTATTTATCTTCTTTTTTGATTCCCATTTCGTTTATATATATTTTTTTTTTTAGTTTTAGTTTTCTTTTTGCTTCTTAATGTTATTTCTGTATAGTAATACAGAATTTTACTTTCTTTTGCTCTCAATAAAGAAAAAAAGATTGAAGAGATTAGTTCTTGATGGGCTGACAAGGTCTCCTGACACGTATATGAGTCAGTGCAACAAGTCATATCTGGGTACAGTATCTGTAGCCAGGTGATGTCGAGCTCATAATTGCAAAGGGTATTTACTAGAAATAGATTTTATTTTTTTTTTTAAGACAGATTTTACCATGTAAATATTTGTATTATAGTACCGGCAAGACTGTCAAAGAAATAAAAAAAAAATATTATTAATACTTATCTATATTCAATTTATTTATGTATTAATACTTATCAATATTTGATAGATTAATTTATTTAAATTAATTTTAACTGATTTGATATATTTTGAATTAATTTAATTATTTAAATATCTTAATTAATATCAAACTATTGTGAATTATTTCGAAATATCTTATATTATTTTGCAAAATTTCTTATATAATATTTCATAATATCTTACATAATATTTTGTAATATTATATTTCACAATATTTTGCAATATTTTATATAATATTACATCTTTTTTATGGTTTGTAAATTATTTCAAAATATTTCGCCCTATTAATTTTGCTAATGTAGACAAACAAACAACACAACAATGAAGATATGTATAAACAAACAAATAATAACAAACAAATATGTATTAAATATAACCAAACCAACAAGATACATAAAATACTAAAACTTATCGATTTTAAAAACTTCTTTAATAAATCACAAGAGAAAAGAATAGTATTACAAGAAAGACAAAATGTATTTATTTAGAAAGAGAATAGAAAAATAGCTAAATATTTAAAAACTAGTAAAACTTATCTTGTTGCTATTATATATAATGTTTTACAACACTTTAACTTTGCTCAATACAAAAAAGCAAGAAATCAAACAATAACAGAGGAAGAAAAAATTTTGTTAAGCTATCCTGATTATGCAAGAATATACTCGGATAAGATAGATAATAAACATGTCCAAAAAAGTGATATGCAGATTAAACCTAGAGCTGGCTTTATAGATATACCAATTCTACAATATGTAGAAATATCTAAAGAGTACAGTAATAATATGAAAATTAATAAAAAAAACATAACACTTGAGATTACAAGTCCAAACTTAGTACAGATTAAGAATAGTCAAAGCAGAGTTAAAAAAAAAGTTAGTTTCTATAGAAACTATAACAACAGCACCAATTGCTATAACTAATAATATTACCAACAATATCGAAATAGAAATACAGAATAACTATCGCAAATAAAATCTTGCTAAACATGAAGTAATTATATATACTACTAAAAACAATTCAGAAATAACAAAAAATATATTAATTCAAAAGAAGTATATATACTAGACTATGGTTTGGCTGAAGAAATAGAGGAAAAACCTCAAGATATTTCAAAAACTGCAACACCAAAAGATAACAAAAAACTTAAAAAATATAAAGATACAGGTGACCCCTGATAATATCAACCTACGTTAATATCAATCTAAGCCACAAATCAAGTTTTTACAAATTTTTATATATCAAAATTCCCTTGTATATATCAACTTTAATATGAATTTTTGTTAATATCACTATCAACATAATTTTGAACAGGTTCAAATAGGTTGATATTAACGAGGGTCACCTGTATATACAATTCAGCATGGGCTTTAAAAAGCAAAATCTACTACCAAAAGCAAATTCACAACTTAGTATATTTCTTCACTCTATGGGATCTTTCCAAAAAGACAAGTGCAGAGTTAATCAAGCTATATTTTAGTTTTTTTGGTATAGTAATTATAGAGATATAGCAACAAAATTTCAGAACCAAAGCTGTATATATTAAGATTTTGCCAAACTCTGAGCAACAAGAAAAATTATTAAAAGAAAGTTGGTTACTTTATTTAGAACAAGGCAAACTATACTTAATTACACCCAGCAAATTTGATATTACAGAATTAGAAGAAAGAAAGAAATTTAAAAATGTGATCTCTAATATCCCAACAATAGCATATGATAGCTTTTTTTTACATTAACTTAAAAAGTACAAAGTTCAAGCAGTCTATATTCTGAGTAACAGCAATAGAAATCAAAGGAAAAAAGCTTATTTATATTTTAAATTAAAGGAAGATCTTCAAATCACCCAAAACTGCAATATTCACTACTTTAATACCAAGCTTATATAGCATTTAAATATAGAAAATACAAAAAAAAATGACTCTTTTAGTAGCCTATTTGTGTATAAAAAAGAAATTAAAAGCTTACATAAAAAAAAAAGAGTACTAAATAAAATATAAACACAAAGTAGAAAAAAATTAGTGAAATATATATATGTCAAACAAGATATTTAAAATCTAAGTTCTAGAATAAATCCTAATAAACAGAAAGAAGTTAATAGAAATAACAGCAACCTCAGACCCCAAGTTAGAACTAAAAAATCCTTAAGAGATATTAGTAATGAATATACAACTAGTGTAAACAGAATAGAACTAGAAAAGAAAAAAGAAAAAAAACTTAAAAAACCAAAAAGAGATATAAAAAATGTTGATCAAACCTCATTGTTTCAAAAAATATTAGAAAAACTAGACATGTTAGAAGGCAGACCAACAGTTTCTTCTAATATAGAAGAAAATCTTTCAAATTTCTCCTAAAAGTTATCACAGGTATCATCAAGAGTAGAAGCAAGCTTATTAGCTTGTACAAAGAAAACAAAGAAATAAACAATATATTTAATTTTAAAATAGCATGTTATAATATTAATAAGATTAAAAGTAAATGATATATTAAATTAATGGGGCTGTTAGAATGGGCAAAAGAAAAAAACATTAATATAATAGAAATAGCAAAGTCGAATATAACAAATAAAGAGAGATAGTATCTGGTTAAAGAAGTTTTAGAAAATCAGTTTATAAGTTTCTGGTCAGATGCAAATAAAGACAAAAAAAAAGGCTTAGAAGTAGGGTTATTAGTAAAAAAAGACTAGGCAGAACATGCTGCAAGAGTCATATATATAAATAAATATATAATAAAAATAACACTCTTTTTTAAGCAACTAGAGATAACAATTTTAATGATATATATTTTACCAAATAACAAAGAGCAGAAGAAGAAGATATAACAACAAGTCATACAAGGATTCATAAAAAGAAAAATTGTCTTATAGTTTATAATAATAAGAGACTTTAACTATATAGTAGATTTAGAATTAAACCAAATAAGTGATAGGTTAGTAGCAAACAAAAGAAAACTACTATTATATAAATGGTTAAAAAATCAGAATTTTTATGACATATTTTGAATCCTAAACCTATACACCAAAGCATTTATATAGTCAAATAGTAAACAAAGAACAAGAATTGATCAAATATAAATATCAGAAAATCTATTTGTTGCTATACAAAAAGCTAAGATACATGAAGCAGCCTTTATTACAAATAGCAACCACAGCCTAATTTTTGCCAAACTCATATTAGAAAATCTGTTGCATTTTACTCAAGCAGCTTAAATAAAGAAGAAAAAATATCTATAAAAAGTTTTTATATATAACAAAGTCTCTAAAAATAATTAAAAAAACTACAAACAATATCTATATAATTATCTTAAAAGCAAAGAAAGTATACAGAAAATGTTAAATCTGGAAAACAATACTGACTCAAAGTCTGTCAACCAAATAGATAATTGTTGGGATGCAATAGCCAAAGGAATAACTTAAGCAGCAAATAAAAATATATTCTTTAAAAGAATTCCTAATACAATTACAAGCAAAAAGAAAAAGTCATACAAAGAACAATCTCTGCTGCTACAAGACACTATTAAGCTTAGTAAAATCTTATGAGGTCTTAAGGATATAAACTATCAGACAACCCAATCAAGAAGAGATTAATAAAGCAATTAAAGAAATTAACAAAAGACAAGAGACAAGCATTCTCTTGATTAAAGATATGATAAATACAAAAGTATTTGATGATATTAAAGGCTGGTAGAAAATACTTAAATCTTGCTAGCTTATTGAGAAGGAAAAGACCAAGAGAAATGAAATACTTAAGCATATCAATATTTGATATGAAAGAATAACACATGAACAAGGAAAAATGATTGCTAGTTTGCTAGAAAGACTATTTAAAAAGATCTAAATTGATCGCTTACTTGTAGAAGAAAACAATGCTACAAGACTAGTAACGAATCTAAATAAAGTTTTAGAAGAAACTAACAAGCACTTTCAAAACCAGTTTCAAAAACAGAAAACATATATAGATCTTTTTAAAAATAACTGGTATGAAATTTACAAATCACAAGACAGAATTTAGAAGACCTGATATAAACTTTTAGAAAATGAAATCAAAAAAGAAGGGTAGGACCAAATATTAAAAGAAATCAAAAACAACTTAGCACCTGGCATATCAGGCATTAGTTACACTCTTATCAAGAAAGCAAATGCAAAAACACATAATATCTTTAGACATTTTGCAAACCTGTATCTCTAAAAAGAGAAAATACCACAAAAATAGAAGATAGCCCAATTGTATTCAATTCCTAAAAGCTTAGATTGAAAACTTAATCTAGCCAAGGTTAGGCCAATAGCATATTAGAAACATTTAGAAAGTGCATTATCAAGGTTTACACAAAGCATCTCACTAAAATAATTAAAGACAAGAAAATTTTTAAAAATTCAAATTATGCTGCTTTTCCAAAAAATTTAACAGAAGACCCAGTTCAAATAATGAATGCAATAACAGAGAATGCAAAAAAAAAGAACAAGAAAATGTGGATCTTATTTCAAGATATACAAAAAGCATATGATTTAGTTTTACTAGAAACTTTTAAATTGGTACTAATAAAAATTAAAATACCAGAAAAAGAAATCAAATTCATTATAAATCTATTCTACAAGCATTGTATAAGTGTGATCACCAATTTTGGTCTATTAGCCCTCTTTGTAGCAGATAATGGAATAGACCAGGATAAGGTGATATTAGGGAAATCTTCTATGACTTGCTTCTAGTCAAAGTACAAAAAAACTTGTCTAGATTATAAAGCTAAAGTTTAAGCTTTACAATATTTTAGCACAAATATAGTCAAAATATAAAAAGTTTGTCAAGTAGCAATAGCATATGCTAATAACACAACATGGATTGCTAAAAGTAAACTGGAAATAGAGAATATTATAAAAATAGCTAAAAAATTTTTTATAATTAATAGTATTCAAATCAATGAAAACAAGTGTAAACTAATAATTATAAACAAAAAAAAAGATAAAAAAGATATAATACAAATTAACCAATATAAAGTTAAAGCAACTAAGATTAATAAAGTAGTCAAAATGGTGGAGATTTGGCTTAGCAGCAGAATAAAAGAGTCATTAATTAAAAATAAAACAAAAAAGATCATTTGGCAAACAATACTTACTTTATAGTGGAAGAATATGACAATTAGTCAGTTAGTATATATTAACAATATGGTTTTAATACCAAAGCTAAGTTATATTCTACAGGTGTCTAAACTAAATAAAACCTCTCTACAAAAAATTTAGCAGCCATATATAAGACTTGTTAAAAGCAAGCTAAAACTAGTGAGAATAACAGGAAATTTTGTTATAACTCACAAAAATATTGGTGGTTGCAAGTCTCTAGTTCAAGAACTATATACAAAACAAATAATATCACTGCAAAATAGGCTTAATAGTACAAGTAGTGAGGGTATATTAGCTCAAATATAAATCAAACAAGGCCTTCTTGATGCCAGTCTATACAAAATATTATAAGATGATCATAAATGTAATAGTTTGCATAAGATCTAGAAAAATAATCTAGTATTAGTGTTCAAAAAAGTTAAATCAGATTAAATTTAGATTTTGACAGATCTGAACTATTAGATTAGTTTTGGCCCAGAAAATTTAGATTGGGCCCGGATTGAGCAGGATTGGGTCTAATTTTAGATTATATTTTTATATAATCATTATAAGTGATAAATTTGAATTAATCACACTTTATATTACAATATAAAGAATATATTCGAATTTATTATATAACAAATTCGAATTTATCACATGTTTTATGATAAAATAAATATAACAAACCATGGATTAACTGTCAGATTGGCATGGATTACTTCCAAATTCAATCCGAATTATGGATTTGGATCAGATTCAGATTAATTTTAGATTAACTAGGATTTTTAATTTGTTTTTGAACACTATTTAGCATATACACTTCTAGTTAAAGCTAAAGAGATGAAAATCAGCTTCAATATGAACAAATATTTGTAGTATATTTCTAGAAAAGATGCTACTATAAGAAAAATACTATATAAAGTAAAAAAAGCATACTTAGCTAAAGATCTTAAAAAATTAAATTTATTTTATATAGAACAAATTCTAGATACAAAATGAAAATTTTTACAAAGCTAACAACAGATCAAAGTCCTTCGAGAAAAAACAAGCAAAGGCAAAATTGTAAATTGGTATAACGAATTGGCTAAGGCAATATGCATAAACAAAAATAATAGATGTGTTAGACAAGAGTTTCAAAAAGATAAGAAGTTAGCAAAACAGAGTAGTATAACTCTTAAAAAAAGATTGGTTGAGAAAGATAAAAGGAAAAAAGACTAGGTTTTATGTAAAGAGAAAAAAAATAATATAAAGATAAGAAGGGTAGAGGAAAAAAAAAAAAAGTAATATTCTTACAAATTATTAGAATATTGCAAATACATTAAACTAGCCAGATTTAATCTATAAAAATATAGTTAGACTACAAATAAAAGATGATCATATAGTGCATATATGAATCAAAAAAGATAAAGTTATTACAAGTTTTTTTAGCCTACAGTTAAAAAGAAAGAGAAAATCTATTTACTTACAACAGCAGATTTTTAGCAAATAATAGATATAGAGAAGCCAGTAATAAAAATAACAAAAATTTAACTAGCCCAAGTTCTAATAAAGAAGTTAAATATAGAGTTAATCAAGCAGCAGAACTTAGACCAGCCAATAGAAAACCTACTTCTAGAACAACTACAAAGAAACAAGAAAAGAACTAATGATAAAATATTAATATATACTGATGGATCTCTAATTTCGAAGGATGGTAAAATACAAATAGGTGCTAGTTAGATATAGGTAGATGAGGTTAACAATATAGTAATAGAATAGGGCTATAGTAGAGTTATTGACAGGCCATCATCAACCAAAGCAAAATTAGTGACAGTTTTTTTAGTGGTTTGTTAGTATCTAGTTATAGTAGTATAGTTATTAGATTAGATAGTGCAGCAGCAATAGTAGAGATTAAAAAAAATATTCTATTCTGTAATGCAAAGAAATAGATAAAACAAGTGAACTTTAGCTTGCTAGTAAAAATTAAAGATATAATTATAGTTAAAAAGTTAGATTTAATACTAGAGAAAGTTAAAGATCATAGCAATAACAAATAGAACAATCTAGCAAACAAATTAGCTAAAGATGGAACTAAATGAATAACCCACATTGGCTTTATTGTAGAAAACAACTCTTAGCTAAGATGTCAACTAAAGTGAAAGCAATACATAGTTAAGTCAAATACAAGAAAATTTTTTTAAAAGGTTTTTCGAGCTAAAACTAGTGCAAGATAGTCGATATTCAAGGCAATACAAAAAATAGAAAGCAAATTTAATACAAATGAAGAAAAAAAAAAACACTACCTGGCAAATATTTTGGTTATATCTCTATAACTTGTTAGGTATAAGATGTATATCTCTAAAAAAAAGCAAGTGTCTGGCATTCTGATTTAAGTGCTTATTAAACAATTTACTAGTTCTTAAAAAGTTAAAAAAAAGAAAACCAGAGTTATATAAAAAAGATGCATGTGTTGTTTGTAATATAGAAGTTGTTAAATCATCTAATCATCTATTCAAATATGATGCATACAAATTTGACTAGCATAATATTGAAACTATTGCAACAGAAATAGTGTGATACATATTCTCAGATATTATACATTAAAAGCTAAGGCTAACAATGTTTAGAGAAATACTTTTAAAAGAAGCTATAGAGGAAAAAATAGAAACAAGAAAAAATTTTGTTAAAGGTTTTTGTACAGAAAATATATATATAATGATCTTGATAAATTCTTAAGCTCCAGGAAAGAATTGAAGACTTGTATCAAGACTTTGGTCTATATTTGGCGAAACAGTTTCTATGATTTTATATAAAAAAAAGATCTCACCAAGTTGCAATGTGGAAAAAACAAAACAGTATAATATTAGTTAAGAAAAAGAAAAGAAAATAAATAGAAAAAGAACAGAGAAGAAAAAATGAGAAAGGAAAAAAGTTGCAGAGTGTCACTACACCTATAAGTAAAGAAACTAAAAATATTAAAGAAGCAGTAGACAAAAGATGGAAGGATATGATTGGAAATTATATTAAGAATAGCACTAAGTTATTCTGGTTTGGCTTTAACAAGGTCTTCTATCTCTTCTGAGAGATAGTACAACAGGTTGCACTAGTGGTTGCTTATTAAGTGACTTAGTGATGCCAAATCTGCTATATGTAGATATTAGAGTAGATATTATTTATGTATTTCTTTTATCTTTTAATAAAAGTATTGATGAGACTGTCAAAGAGTTAAAAAAAAAAACAATAATAATAATTTTTTCAAAAAAAAACTTTTCTGACAATTACTTATATAAAAAATTTTTAAAAAATCTAACTATATAATAATCTAAAAATACATATATAAGGATATAAAAAGTTATAAACAAAACTATAAGATAATATTTACTATTTAAAAATAGTTCTTATATACTATTTGTTAGTAAACTTAAAGTTTATTACTTACTATAAAGATAATATTTGTTATTTAGAAGTAGTTTTTATATAGTATATTACTTGTCAACAGGTTTAGAGTTTATTACTTACCAAAGAAGAAAAGTTTGGCTTTGTGTTAAATATATTGTACAAATTATTTTGTTAAAAAATATATCTTCTTTATTATTAAAAATTTTTATTAAATACAGTACAAGTAATATTTTTTACTTCAATATTTTCTGGCCACTTTTACAAAATTTTTATCAAAAGTAGACCCCTTGCTACCCAACTATAAAGTTATTTATTTAAACTTTTTAGTTACAACTGCTATTTATTATTAATCAAGGTGAAACTTACTATTTATATGCTAGCACTAGTCAAAATAAAAAAAACCAGAGTCTTATTCTAAACCAATATATATCTAATTGTTATTAAATTGCAAATTTGTTATAGTTCTGATTGTTACAAATTTATGCAGCAACTCGATTTATATAAAATTATAAAATAGTTGGTCCTTACCTTTAACATTAAAAAAAAAAATAGTTAGTCCCGATTTATACCAATTAGGTGGCATCCATAATTTACGTTAAACCAGAACTGTATTGTATAGAAATAGGGGTCCTTTGAAGATAATACCAAGGTATTATCTTTAAGAATAGTGGTTTAACGTAAATTATGGATGCCGCCCTTATTGGTGCAATTCGGCATGTAACCAGGAGGGACCTGATTTTAATAAATTGCTTAATTTGATGGGTATTGATATGTATTGGTATTATCGTTATTTATTGGCTTATTGTAAGTCAAAAAAAATAATAATAAACAATACCGATACACATTTTATCGTTATTACGTATATTGTCTGATACGTAGTGATTTATTTGTATACGTGTTGCACAAATGGTAGATTATAAGTGCGTGAGGGTGAAAACAAAGTTTCTGTAAAGAATTTAGCCCCTGAAAAATTATTATACCTGTAGGAGACGAACCCGACATTCGTTCTGGTTACATCGACCCCCCGCACTACCCAGTAAGTTTTTTTTCCGGAATGGCCTGTCGGGACGACAGTCATATGAGGGACTAGGGTTGATGTGTTTGTTCTAAGCATATGGCCTGTCAGGACGACAGTCATTTGTATAAATTCTAATGCATTCTATGATTCTATGACCTGTTGGGACGATAGTCATTTGTACAAATTTCTGTGCATTCTGTGACCTGTCAGGACGACAAGAAAAAAAAAAAAAGTGAACTATGCTAAAAAAGTTACGTAAGTTGTTTTATTAGCAGGAGGGAACACCAAGTAAAAATATCCTGAGCCGCTTGTACACATACAGGGTATTTTTGCTAAATACCCCGGGATTTTGTATAGTGATCGGGGTATTTTTATTTAAATTAGTTTTTTGATTTAAAAATTAAAAAAAAATTAAACTTTAGCTCAAGATTCTTCTTTAGCTAAGGCCGCTTGAAGTTAAACTTTCGTTTAACGTTATCCCCCCTCCATTCCTTGAGCTTCCCCCTAAAATTAAACAGATAGAGGTGACAAATTAGTCAGTATAATGGTCGGCACTCATAGGAAGACTTTCGTATGATTGGCTGTTTAAATCAATTTAATTTTACATTATTTATACAGTTTCAAGTACTTTTAAAAAAACAAAACTACGAAGAATGAACAAAAAGAAGTATATAGAAAGTTTTATTAGGGTAGTAGGACTCCACTATTAAAAATAATCAAAATCCTTTTTTGTTTTCGAGAAGTTAGCATAATAGCGTCTTAAAGATAGATAGAATTAGGTTATCACCATGCTAAAACAAAAAGGGATTTTGATTATTTTTAATAATGGAGTCCTACAGCCTAATAAAACTTTCTATATACTTCTTGTTTATTCTTCGTAGGTTTTTTTTTTAAAAGTACTTTAAACTGTATAAATAATGCAGTAATGTAAAATTAAATTGATTTTTCCTATGAAAAGGTCGGCACGGTGATCGGAATTTTTCGGTTATATCGGGATTTTTCGGTATCCTATGTTATTTTTTTAAGTTTGTGAATACGAAAAAAAATATAACGTTAAATGAAATTTTTCAAGAAAATATATACGTATTTAAAGTTTAAAATTATCTTTTTATATACATTTACTTTCCTAAGTAAATTAAAAAATGTTTTTTCTTGCAAATTTTACATATAAATTCGGGGTGAGTCTTTTAAGTAATTAAACTAAGTGGGACATATCCTATGACTTATTAAAATATATATATATACAATGATAATTACACAAGTAGTAAAGGGAATGAGTTATTAATAAAGTTTTTAAAAATAGCAAATACACTATCGCTATAGAGATCACAAAAATTTTGTAATATCACTATAACAAGTTTAGCGAGAAGTTGAAATCTGCATGGGCTTAAAAAAAGGCTTTGCGGCTCGCTTTGGTCCGCAATATAAAAGACTCAGCATAGTCCGCTTTTTTATCCATTTAAAATACAATTCTTTTAGGAATGAAATCGTTTCTAAAAACTTTGAAAGAATCGCAAAAGCCTTTTCAGGCAACGTTACAAGCGTTAACTTCGACAAATGCACAGCCGTTAACTTCGACAAATGCACAAACGTCTACTTCGACAAATGCACAGTCGTTTTCTTGTGACAATATTCCTGGTATACCACAAAATGGGAATGAATACTCTAAATTATTAGGTTATTCTTTGTACTTCTTTGAAGCCCAAAGGAGTGGTGTTTTACCTGCAAATAATAGGGTACCATGGTACTTTAATCAGTTAATTACATGTTACGTATGTTATTCGACGTGTAAACATTGAAAGAATTTCAAATTCTATCATAAATTAGGAGACACAATTCTGCGCTTACCGACGGCCATGATGTTGGACTAGATCTCACAGGGGTGAATACTAACAGTTATGATTACAATTTGCAGTTTGCAACTTGTCAAATCATTTTCATATTTATTTGCTTGTTACATTTTAGGGATATTACGATGCAGGTGCATTTTTAAGAAATTTAAATATTTGACATTCACCGAGTCTATCCTTACCCATTATTAATAAATTTTTAAATCAGGCGATTACTTAAAATTCACATTACCGTTATCATGGTCTTTAACGATTGTGTCATGGGGCGCTCTTGAGTGGTTTGAGGGGTATCAATTATCAGGTCAGACTGGACACCTTTACGATATGGTCAAATGGGGCACCGATTGGTTGCTTAAAGCTCATCCTTCACCCACCATACTGTATGTCGAGGTGGGTATAGACACAGTGGATCATGATTATTGGGGTCCTGATACCGGGTACTTATCTCTTTTTACATTTCGTAATATATATATATATTTATAATGTTTCGAGCGAAACTACTTTCAAAATCGCCAGAAGTTTCGCACTATAAGTTCGAAAACCTCCGAAATCCGAACTATTTTCGCCCAATTCGATCTACAAATGATCTGCAAATTTAGGTTTCGCCCGAAACACTATACATAAATTATCCATCCCTATATTCATATTTACATAAATCTGTATATAAAATTAATAGTATGCCATATCCTCGACCATCATTCTGCATTGATGCTTCGCGTCATGGTACGGATGTAGCAGCAGAAGCTGCTGCTGCATTAGCATCGGCATCTCTTTTGTTCCGTACAAAATTTAATCAACCAGACTATGCCGATTTGTTACTTCAACACGCCGTGGATCTTTTCAATTTTGCAGAGACAAAACCACATCAAGTGTACACTGTTGCTGTTCCACAAGCCAAAGAAGCATATGAATCCTCACGTTATGACGATAAATTGGTTTTCGCGGCACTATGGTTGTTTCAAGCAACCAATCAAATTGGTTATTTAGATAAAGCAATACATTATTTTTACGAATTTTCACAAGATGAATGGACTAGTGCAATTAATTGGGATGATCATTCAGGCTCTAATTATATTTTATTTGCTATGCTTACGGAAAGGGTAGGAAGAGATTGTTCACCCTGGAAGGCAGAAGCCGAAAAGTATTTGGATGGAATGGTGAACCAAAGGCATAAAGAGTGTCATCTTACAAAAGGTGGATTATTATGGCTTAAAGGTGATAGTGATAGTGCTTCGTTAAATGTGGCGCTTAATATTTCATTCGCATTACTTGTTTATGCACGCCATGCCACAACATCAGATAAAACCAAGTCATATACGAATTTTGCGTTATCACAAATTGATTATTCGTTGGGAAGGAATCCGCTGAATAAAGTTTATGTTGTTGGTGCACATCATAGTTCGCCAAAGAACCCACATCATGCCGGTGCAAGTGGAGGGACAGATATCGGGAATATACGTCATCCGCCAGTGTCAAGATATGTTTTGTACGGCGCTGTTGTTGGAGGACCAGACAAAAAGGACAAATATAATGATGACAGGGAAGATTATGCCAGATCAGAGGTTCGTTTATAATTTATATTTAATTATTAATTTAGCACCCTGATTTAATTCCATTTCCTTTTCGATTAAATATCAGGTGACATTAGATTATAATGCACCATTTCAAAGTTTGATGGCTTACCAAGTTATGCATGCTAATTATCCACCGCCATATCTCGCTTATTAACTACTTAAATAAATTTTAAGATTATTGTTATCAAATATTGTTATGCGAAAGGCAAATGATGCATCTATTTATTATTTTTTTTTTATCGATTTTTAACAGGCGTGCTGTTAAAACTTACATTTAAAAAAAAAAATAATCCAAAACTCGAATAAATGGCAATGTTTGAATTATATGCCACATATTTTTACCTCTCACTTCATTCTAGAGGAATCATCATTTTTTCAAGTGCACAGTTACAATTGTAATAATTTGCAACTGGAAAAAAAAACCAACTATTGTCACGTGGCTCCACCAATAAATTGAATAAAATTAACCCAGGTTCACGATATATAGCGTTTGTTCGCTTGCTATTCGCGCACACTTATATTTGTTGATCGATGCTTTCCACCTATCCAACCACGACAGTTAGGTGCCCCACAAAAACATTCTTGTTCTTGAGCACCGCCGAATGTGGAGAAGTTATAATCATAAGTCAATTCAATTCCCGGTTTTATGTCATTCGAAGCAAATACGCCAATGAAATGTTCACCGTTTGGTGCTCTCCTATCAATAGCAAAACATTAAATTAATGTACGAGTCATAACGTGCAATTATTAGTTATTTAGCAACTTCTCACGTACCATTTTTCAATGTGACAATTCGGTGCACAGCTTAATTACAAGAGAAAATTAATCTAAAATATTTTGTTGGGGGGTTTTTTTTGGCATTATATATATTTAGATCTTACCTATGATTAATAAATCTAGCTAACGTTCCACACACAGCACCATCGACAACTTCACCTTTGCCATATTCAAGGAAATACACGCTCTTCCTATGCAAATACTTGGTCTCCATTCTCTTTCTGGCCGTACATTTAGAAATAATCTCGCCTCGATATTCTAAAATCAATTGACCTTTTTTAATTTTAACGAGTGTGCGAAGTCCAAATCCTCTGTTTTTAGTCTGAATCATCAACAATTGCCAAAAGGCCAAATAACCGAATATAATCACAAAAATAAGCATGGTAAACTAGTTACTGATTCTCTTAATGCAATCGAGTTAAAAATATATATATGTATATACCTTAAACACCTTTACGTTTTTAACTGATTCTTTCCTCTGGAACCTTTGATTAGAGCATTGTTCTCCACAAGGACAATATTTTGGAGAGCATTCGTAAAACATTACCCTTAAAATTTGCTGAGTTAATTATAAAATAAATTATCAAAATTTGAAAAATTAAATGATCTTATACCTGTTAACGCATTCTTCGGTGCAACCAATTTCACCCTCACCGCATGGCTTGCAATTGCAAACGATTGGCTCATCATCTTGTTTGCGCTTACGATCAACAAATATATCTGAAAATAAATCGAAAAATAAATCTTCAAATTCTCTTTTTTTTTTTGAAGCAAATGAAATTGATAAATTGAAAATACTAGTTTTAATATTTTTAAATCCTCTTTGTAGTAACCCTTGCTTATGAGCAGTCATTATATCCCATGGTAGATAGAAATTTCGCTGATCCGTTATAAGAAATTGACCATATTGTGTAGGGAGTGGAAATATTTCCGAGGTTGTCACCTTATCTTTACCCTTCAAACTTTTTTCGCGATCGTTTAGTTTAAGATCAATAGAGTATAATCCACATTTCAAATATTCTTTTTGTTCCCAGGGCAATGGCTCATCGTTATATGCTTGGACTTCTTCTAATTCCAATTGAGATGATTCCGGTATTTTAACATTAGTGCTTTCTTTGATTCTCTTCTGTTAACAAATATGATGCCAATTAATCATCAGTGTTCGAAGGTAAGCGTATTACGTGATCCATGTCATTACCTTTCGGCGTATCTTCCTTCTAACTCTTGAAGTTTGGTTTGCTTTTGCAAGTTCAGTATCTCTACGCTATATTGAATGAAGTAAAATCAAATAATGACACGAGGATATATTGTAGCATTATAATTATGTTCAAATTAATCTAATCGCCTACCTTAGCGGTTCTATTCATCTCTATCACGCTAAGAGGTCGATGGAAACCTCTTGTCTTAAAGCTGTTAATATAATTAAAATGCAATTGATATTTTATTCTTCGTGTAAATGATCAAATTATTTATAAAATTTGCACTTACAAGATACCACACGCATTGCACAACCACCCACCCGCTGGATTCCTGCGCCAAGCAGAAGCCGTCCTTACTTTACAAACAGAATTGCTGCATTCGCAGCCTGCCGGAGCAGGGACAAGTGGTTTAAATAGTCGCGGTTCACATTCCATAATGAAAATTTTTGAATCATACCGGTACGCGTATGAAGTAGACTAACATGTCATAAAAATGTGATTGATGATCATTTCCTATCGCGAATACTGCTGATTTGATTGGTCAAAGATCACGTGAAAATTTTGATTTTGATTGGCTAATTCACCACTCATGCGTCTTAAGTAGGGTTGTTAATGGAGCGGCATATTCCGGAGCAACCCGGGTTATATTCCAGTTTGAGGTTGGAGTGTGTTGAGATTATAAGAATTATATAATAACCCGGAGCAAAGCTATTTCTTATAACCTGGGTTGCTCCATATGGAGTGACCTGTAGCAAAACCTGAGTTACTCTATATGGAGTGACCTGGAGTAAAACCCGGGTTGCTCCATATTTAAAAGTCCGGTCCAGTCTGATTCGACTCCAAAAAGTTGTTTTTATTAAAGCCTCCAAAGAGTTAAGTTTTTATAAAGTCCGGTCCCAAGTCAAACTTGGGACTCGACCCGCATTGCATGTGCATCTTAAAAAGAAATGCGTACACATGCAAAATATACATAATACACTTTTTTTGCTATATTTAAATATGTTCAAGATGAACGTGCAATGCGAATCAATATTTTGCTTCATATGGAGCAACCCGGGTTATAAGAAAATTTTTGCTCCGGGTTACTCCATATGGAGCAGCCTGGGTTATAAAAAAGCTCTGCTCCGGGTTACTCCATATGGAGCAACCTGGAGCATAACCCGGAGTATTGATTTGAAGTATAACCCGGGTTGGGTTGGAGTAAGGCTTGCTCCAACTAATTTTAACCCACTTCACTTCACTCTATTAATAACCCTAGTCTTAAGGCCCATATTAATAGATATAACAATGTGAAAAGGTTTGACAACAAAATTTGGCTTTAATTCAAAAATTTCAAATACAAGTTTGGCTCTGAAATCATGTTAAAAAGTTCGGATTTGTATTTAGGTTAGAACTATAGTAATATTAATTAGAACTTTTTTTTAGTAAACAAAAAGCATAATAACTAGATTAATAAAATTGTTATGTATATAAAGTTCTGTAATTTTTATAGTAGTTAAAAGTATACAATTATAAAATTTAAATATATATTATAAACAGTGTTGGTAAATAGAATAATAAAGTAAAAGTTTGATTTTGTTTTTATATTATTTAATAAATATTTATTACTATTCGATTTATTATACTTTACTGCCTCTTAGCTGATTATTCAAATCTTTATTAAAATTTCTAACTAACTCTATAAACAAATATAGAAATTATACCATATTAGCAAATTTTAAAACTATAATATTGCACAAAAATTATAATTAATGTACAATAATTTAAAAAAATATGAATATGTTCAAAATTTATTAAGAAAATTTACAACTTTGTAATAATAAACAATGTTTAGAAAGTTATTCTGGTTATAATAGTGGTTAAATTATCAAAATTAATCCAATTTGTTAAAAAATAGCTTAATTGTTGTATAATATTTTGAATTATTGCACAATATTGTGCATTAATTCAAAATATTATGCAATATTACAATTAAGCCATCTTAGCAAATATTAGATCAATTTTGATAATTTAATCACTATTATGACCAAAATAACCTGTTAAACATTGTTTATTATTACAAGATTGCGAATTTTTTTAATAAATTATGAATATATTTATATTTTTTAAAATTATTATATAATATATCAGCAAATTTAATATTGTGAAATAATTTACATTTCATAAAAATACCGTAATATTATATAAAATATTTTGAAATATTGCAAAATATAGCACTTACGGAATATTCATAAGAAATTTTGCAATATTTTGAAATATATTACGAAATATTATATTTGAAATAATTTGAAATAATTCAAAAAAAATTAATATAATTTGAATGTATTATAAAAATTTTGAATTAATTTAAAATTATTAAAATTAGTTCAAATTAATTCAAATTTAATTAAATTCACTTGATAGAAATATTATAAAGAGAAAGTCTAGAAAAATGATTATTTAATTTATTTTAAAAAAAAATAAATTGAATTTTTTGTATATTATAAAATAAAATATGATATATTAAAATTTAAATTAAATAAATTAAACAAATTTAAAAATATTTAATAATATTAAATTTAAAATATTATTAATATATTAATTAAGTTATTATTAATATAAATTTTAAATAGTATAATTTAAATATATGGGGTCTTTGCAATAGAAAGGGCCCAAACTTCCCAAAAATTAAAAATAAGTTTTTTTAAGATTCAAATAAATTTTAAATCAGGCTATATT